CTCTTTCCATATCTTTTTTTCGAAATCCAACATATCGGCAGCAACTTGATTTTTTAACGAAGACACTCTATCGTCAAGAGCAGACATCTCAGAAGTGTCTTTGAAGATTTCCAAGGAGATGTTAGCAGAAACTTTGTCTTCAATAGAAGCGATGTCACCAGAAACTTTCTGCTCTAATGGTGGCTCACAAATAATTCATACCTCAGCACAGATTATTGCTTCTATCATACTAACAAACTTTGAACTATTAGCTTACATTACAATTTACTTTAGGCCGTAATTGCAACACTTAGGAAGTGCAATTATAAAAATATATTACTCGACAATTTATTTAGTTGTAGGTAAATGAACTACTTATTAAAATATCATACATTATGTTTTCACAATGTTTCAATTATACACAGTAAAACTATAGAATATTAAGAAGTTAAGAATAATGTGAGATTACAAATTAAGGGATTAATTTGTGATTGAACAAATTGAATTATTTGAAATCTTAAACTAACGCTGCAACATTCTCGCAGGTTTGACAAATAATAAATCAAAATTTAAATCTAATACGGAGAAAGTTTTGATCAAATTCAAAGTATTTAAGTTTTTTTATTTTTAGCCCTATTTTGATGATTTTTTTAGCACACTGTAGAAATAAATTTTAATTTAGTATAGTGAGTTTTTTAATAAAATTTTGTATTTGACTTATACGGGGTTAATCGAAAGGTGGTTTTTTATCCCAACTTTGAAACATCTGTGGAATAATTCCGTTAGCGGATTTTCGTAAAACCTTGTTTTTTGGTTGCAACCATGTATTTTAAGTATTATGTTTCATGTGAAAATATGGATTGGTTCATTTTTAGGAGCTAAAAGACTGATACCCGCAATTTACGACTTTTTCTATTATTACCATTATCTGTATTAATTTGTAATACGGTGACTGATATCGCAGGAATGTCATATATCGACATCCCAGAAGCACTGTATTTAAATAATAAAAGGCCTGGCCTAAAATCAACGAAATGACCTTGGTTTTAATGAACAATGATAACAATAACAAAACATTAAAAAAAACAACTTAAATGTATCTTAACCTAAGTACGCAAAAAACAAAGAAAAACCACTAAAAAATAACTTCATACTTTGTATTGCCTCCCCTAGCCTCTATAACTGCCTGTACACGTCAACTCATGTTGTCTATGAGGTTGCAAATATAATCTTGCTGGATGTTTTGCTATTCCTCTTCTAGAGCCAAATGAAGGTCGGTGCGACTTCGCGATCTCTAATATTTCTACCAATTGGCGAACACACTGAACAGTACATTTTCAGTCCGCCGCTGAACGCGGGTGACTGAAAGCGCACTCCGCAAATATCTCTCCAGTTCGATGCCATAGTCGTCCTCTCCCATCTGATGAGTAAAGACCGTATCTCGACTTGTCTAAGTTCTAATGTCCTAAATTTTGAGACTCATAATACGGGGAAAGATTCAAGGAAGAAGATCTATTGGTCGAAGGCAGAACTCATGGTTGAAGAATCTACGTGATTGGTATCAATGCAGATCGATTGATTTGTTTAGAGCAGCAAGTTCAAAAATAAAAATAGCCATTATGATTGCCAACCTCCGTAGGGAGACGGCACTATAAGAACTTTGCAATTCAAATTCATGTTATCTTCGACGAACTGTAAATACACTTAAATTATTGCCTCGAACCTCTTGAAGCTGATTTCTTGTTTGTACTGCTGTGAAATGACGATCCCGCAAAGCATTGACTCATATAAAACAATCATCTAAACTGGTATAATTGCGCTTCCTGCCACTTCCCGCTTTACGCTTGTTTGTTCTAGTTTGTATAAGACGTTCCACTACTCTTTGGATGGTAGAGCGATGAGTATGTAGTACTCTAGCCACATATTCATAATTTCGCCCATGATCAATCATAGGTATACAAAATGTAAGTGTCAATATGACATAATAACAATCACCAAAGCCACCTGGTCGTATTACAAAATAACTCCAAAATAATTATAATTAAAAAAGTCCTAAATTGTAGGTGGCAAATTCATTTGGCTCTAAAAAATGAGCCAAGGCATATTTTGGCATCAAACAAAAACAGAATGCTTAGAAGACATTGTTGCAACCGAAAACTAAAGTTTTCCGAAAATTCGCAAACGGAATTATTCTACAGGATGTTTCAAAGTTAGGATAATAAAACCCCATTTTAATTACCCCCGTACAATATAAAATATAAAATTTTATTAAAAACTGTATACCAAATTTAAATCTATAAATTTATACATAGTGTGCTAAAAAAATCATCAAACTGGGGTTAAAAATAAAAAAATTTTAATGCTTTGAATTTGACCAAAATTTTCTCCGTAAATGCAACTAATGCAATGAATTGGCTCATAAAATTTATTCGTGCAGACATTTTTCTGCTCTCTCTTTCAGGCTGAAAAATTCGATTTTGTGAGATCAAATCACATGTGTTCCAATTATGGTTTGGGTACAAAACACAACCATGCTGATTGCCCATCTCGCAGTTGTTCGATATGTTCAAGAAAGCATCACACTCTCTTGTATCAACATTATTATGCAGAGAACACGAATCAATACTTAAACTTCTTATCCAAATAATTATCGCACAGCTAAGTCCAACACGAATCAATCTCGGACTAATCACACTTCTTATTCAAATAATTATCGCACTACTAACTGTAATCATTTTAAACAGCCCTCTCAACAAAATAGTAACAGAAGTAAACGTTACAATTTTGTTCCTCTAATAATGCAAACCCTCAATCTCAAAGAGCAAATTCTCCTGGTCCTTCATACCAGCATCACACTCCAATCGCTAATGATTCACCTCAGGCAAATAATAACCAACCATCCTTTCCAAATAACTCTCTGGAAGATGACGACAGCCACTCTAAAGTCTCCCTAATCGCTACAAACGAATCACACACTCATTATTTTAGGCACTGCCCAAGTCAGTTTAATAGACAAAGCAGGCAATCTCATTTTAACTAAAACTGTACTCGATGCCGGAAGTCAAACTTCCGTCATAACCCAAAATAGTGTAGTCGTTCCAAGGATAATTTCTCCGCTCCTACAATTCGACATCAATCCCGATGTACCCAAAAATCTCGATCTAGCTGACAAATATTTTTATCAAAAATAAAACGTCTATTCTCTGTGATCTACTCACCTTCTGCAGTGAGTACTCGCTCAGCTTTTAAAGCTCGATGGTTTTTCGCTAGACAAATCAACAACGTCGCAACCATCTTCGTTTATTTTCAAGGCTTTGGCTTAGACATTTTGCCAGGTTGACTAAAATGGAATCCTACGACTGACTTCTTTTCTTATTCTTCTCGTCCCTTTGGCAAACCTTGTACAAAGCGGGCTATTCGTTTGTAAATCAGTTGTCTTTTTGTTGCTATTCTCTTGTTTTCATTCTTTTTCCATGTCTTTTTGTTAGTCAAACGTCTTCTACAAGCGTTGTGGTACTTCAATGTATCCTTGGATGATGAAACATCTGAACAGATACATCTGACCTCTGTACTTGTATGTATTACATGTAAAAACATCTATCGCAAGATATTGCTGGCTGATCTAGTCAACTTTGTCAAAGGGTTCTTCTTCCGATCTTCAGATATTTGATCTGACTTGATGATTGCGGTCCCTTGAGCTAATTTTCTACCTATAAATTGTCAATCGTATTAAAAACATACAAGATACACACTTATACCACACTCTACTGGGCATTATATGCCTTCTAATCAATACTTCTCTGATTGTGTTAGTCGTGTTTTATCACCTGCACAATTATTACAATTTTCACCAAACTGGAATTTTCCTAGTTCTGGAGTTCGTCGAAATATCTGGAATGCGACACCACGCCGAGATTTCAACGCTGTTGTTCTTCTTGTTTTTTCGCACCCCACGGAATTCTTATAGAAAAAATGCCCAACGGTATTGTGTTTGACAGAGTCTTTCTAGTTTATTAGGTCGAAAAATTCTACTGATTGGACACTATTCTTTTCTAATTGATTACATTATACGCGTTGTTAATCTAAGCACAGCTTCAGATGGCATCCAACAATGTTCTGTGGTCAAAATATGACCGCCGATTATTTGTCAATTCATATTTTATTCTTACTTAATTATTTATTAATATATCGATCTTTTCATGTCTATTCTTTATACTTGTACTTTCAGCTGTTCTTAAAAACATTCGTTTTTTGGAGCGGGAGAGTGTTTGGGAAAGTATGTAGTATAAGTTCTCGTTTGAGCCTCGGCGCCGGGTATCCTTAACGTCGTGACACGCAGCGACCAATAATTCTTCTACCTGCTACGAATACATCAGTATATCAAAATGTAAGTCGATTCTTTATATAGATAACAGTATGAGTTAAGCCCGTTAACTCTCGTAATTTATTCACAACTGATAGTTGCTATTTTTCGCTACTTTATTGACAGTCAAAATATTGTATTTTTTCTCCATTATTATTTCTAAATATCATTTAACCAGCGACTTTATGCAGAATGCATCCAATCCACTTTTTCAAAAGATAAACGAATAACGGAAGGCGACCATGTGGGTTGGATGCGTTCTGCAATAAGTTAATAGATATAAGAAGATTTTATTTGTTGACCATGTGGTTTGGATGTTTTCTGTAAATAAATAATTCGTGATTATAAAATAAACATTTTCAATGATGATCGTTTTCTCCGCAAAATGAAGAATGGGTTGAAAGCAGTCGAAAAATGACATTAGCTCAATTTTTGCTATAATGTAGGTTGTACGCTTCCTGCAGAGCTGGATAATTCCATTTATAACATTATAACATTCATGTATTACAGCAACAAATTTCAATAAAGATCAATGCACTTTTCCAGATTTAAGTTTTTCAGGTATTGCTCTGAAGTGTTTTCTTATTGGTATTTTATTACATATTTTGTTTTAGTATTGTTTCGGAGGAGGTTCTTATAATACAGTTTTTTGTTTTAGGTAAAATATACTGAAGATGGTCTTGAAGCTATAGTTTTTACAGCTCAAGGTGACATGAGACAGGCCTTAAACAATTTGCAATCCACTCACAATGGTTTTGGTGAAGTAAATTCTCAATCAGTGTTTAAAGTATGTGATGAACCTCACCCTATGTTGATAAAAGACATGTTGAAAAATTGTTCAAAAGGTGATATCAGAAAGGCCTATAAAGTAACAGAGCATTTGTGGAATTTGGGTTATGCAGCAGAGGATATAATAAAGAATATCTTCAAGGTCTGCAAAAATATGGATATGGAAGAGGGGTTAAAATTAGAATTTATAAAGGTGAGAAAACATTTCTTTTCTGTACTGCATATGCTGTACTTTATTAAAATTTAGCTGATACTGTATTAAAACCAATTTTATAAATAAAATTACAGTAAATTAATATTAAGCACGGTACAGACTCTAAATACACAAATAACTTTTATAATAAATATATTTTGTAGGAAATTGGCCTGACTCATCAAAGAATAGTGGATGGTCTATGTTCTCTAATGCAAATGTCTGGATTATTGGCAAGGTTATGTAAAGCTGCTAAAGGGGACACCAGGATGTAGCCATTTCAACCACTTTTTCACCCAACAATTATTAAGCATTTTTTAATAAATATTTTCATATTGTGTTTGAAGTTTTCTTACTGGATGGACAAAAGTATGAAATAGTAATAAACACAAAATAGAAGAAATAAAACTTGAAACTTCAATACCATAATATATGGTTTTTATTTCATCAGAGCAATAGCAGGCTTTTGCTAAAAGCTACTTTTATTTTCAAATTTTGACAGCCCAGAGAGCAGAAAACTATTTAATAGTTTAGTTCTTTGTCGCCAAAGCAGGTGGTACCTCTGTGCTCGAACCACTAAAAGTTGATACTATTCGTTTTGAATTAGAATCAGCTTAACCCTTCATTGCATGATTTTTTATTTTTCGTTACAAAAAAGTTTGCAGACTGGATTTTCGTTATTTTTATGGGAAAAAATAATAAAAAAGATTCTGAACTATTTTTTTTTTAATTTGGAAAAATATAAGTGTTGTTTATGAACATTATGCAAATAAGGATATACTTAAAACAACATGTAGGAAAAATGAAAATTTTTAAAACCGTTCTTCGTTTTAGTGAAAGAAAGTGCTGCACCAAACTGTTCGCACAACATATGTGTATAGCCATTGCACTGTGGAAATTTGCACCTTATTTGTTTTTCGGCCCATACAGACCATTGGTGAATTCCATCCGTTCGAACATTCTTTACTCTCATGCCCTGTGTTGGGCCTTTTCTCTTCTTTATTTGTAGCGCCTCCTCCGTTTCACTTGCTGAAGGTCTTTCCCTTTTTGCAATGGCGAATCGCTCTCCTGTCCTGCACAATGCTTCTGCCAGTTGTGTTCTAAACTGAGCGTGTGTAACTTTAGGCTTCGCGCCAGTTCTATGTTTAGCTGAATTCTTGTGAAGAACTGTTAGCAATGGTTAGATCTAGTAGGTGGTAAAATATTCTAAAATACCTAATGGCCTATTTACTTTTGGACTACTAGTGCAAAATTGGTTGTTTACATTTTATCTGTGTGACCTATTTAAACTAAAATTTGAATTATTATTACTTTGAAATAAAATTGGTGTATTGTTGTTCATATTTGGAGCCTCATGCCAAGTGGAACCAGCTGCTGTACTATTTTCATCCTTAACTATCACTTCAGTATAATGTATACCAATTGCAAGGCCATAATATGGGTTGTCTGTTCCTACGATAATGTACACCTTCAGGTGTTCTGACGACATATGATCTTGGAAAAGGACCTATTTCTATCACAGTAGCTGGTAACCACGGTCATGATGGAAACTTTTTATAAAATACATTTTCTCTAACAAACAGACTTGGTAGGTTTCTTGCTGACCTATCGTGATATTCTTTTACTTTCCTTTCTTTTTCCTTAACAGATTTGTTATATTCATTCCTCTGAATTGTTTCTGGTATGAGTACATTTTCACTAACAGGTAATTTCATTCTTAGATTACGTGACATTAATAATTGAGCTATAGAATAACCACATTCTAATGTTGTATTTCGGTATTGCAACATTCCCTGATAAGGATCAGAACCTGACTCTATAGGTACACTTATTAAAAATATTCTTGACAGTCTGAACTGTTTTTTCTACCAAACTATTACTCTTTTGATAATAAGGACTAGAACTTTGGTAAGTAATAACCCAATCTAAAAGGTAAAGTCGGTATTTCATGTCTTCTGGATTTCATGTGGTTCTGGATTATTTGATCTAAGATATTTAATACATGCTGAACACTGTTCAACTTTATTCTTTATATCCACTGTCATTCCTGGCCAAAAAAACCACTGTACGTGCTTGCATTATCATTTTTCATATCCTAAATGACTTCATGAATTATTTCCAATATGACTTGACGTAACGACGGAATTATTATTTGGTTTCATTTAAAGACTAGTCCATCCACAACATATATTTCATGGTTAAAATTATAATATGGTTTAATTTATTTTGCGAGCTTGGCCAACCTTCATTATACTATTTTATTATTGACTGTAAAACTGTATCAGTTTTGGTTGCTGTCTGTATTTCCATTAATTTCTTTAAAGACACAGATAAATTGTTAACTAATAAACTTAATGTATACGTAACTCTTGATCTCCAGTATCAGTATTATCTGGACCTTCTGCTAGTTCCCGACTTAATGTATCCGCGATGAAAAGAAATTTTTCTGGAGTTTAACTAACTTTTAAATCATAAAGCTGTAAGTTTAGCATAATTCTTTGCAACCGTGCTGGAACCTCAGATAATGGTTTCTTAAAAAGACTGACTAATGGTTTATGATCTGTTTCAACTTTTACTTTTCTACCATATACATATTGTTTAAATCTAGTACATCCAAACTGGATTGCATATAACTCTTTCTCTATTTGTACCTAATTTGACTGAGTCTGTGACAAAGATTTATATGTATCTGCTATGTTTTTTGTTTTGTAAAATCAGTGCACCAAATGCAAACTTTGAACTATTAACTGATAATGTTAATGGTAGATTGTTATCAAAATATGCTAATACTGGCATTTGACTAATCATTCCTTTAAGCGCCTCAAATTTTTTTCCTGCTCTTCTGTGCAGTGAAAACTAATATTTTTTTTTCAATAATAATCTTAGATTTTTCGTACGCTCTGCTAAATTATCTATGTACTCACCTAAATAATTAATCATTCCTAACAATTTCTAATATCAGCTACACAGTTAGGAATTGGCATTTGACAAATTGCACTTTATTAGAAGCTGAACATTTGCCTTCTGCACCAAAAATATTACCCAAATATTTAATATCTGACAATAGAAATTTGCATTTGTCCATTTTAAATTTTAAATTGAATTGTTTTGCTCTATCTAGTACTACTTTCAATTTATATATGTAGGTACTAGTTCTAACATTTAATTAAAAATTTTTATTGACATCACATTAGCTTGTGCACCTGTATCCATGATACTATGACTAACAAGATAGGATCTTCCCGTAGTACAAAATCGGTCATGATCGCGGATGCCGTCATTTTAAAGTAGAATTTGAATTCTTGGTAAAGTTCAATGGGATTTGTATGCATTCTGTGATGAAATTACTAGACGAAAATAAGTTAAGAGGTTTAATAATGACAATAATCGTACACATAAGGATATCTCCAAACTATTTACTAATGATTATTTATTAATACATACAAAAAACTGACATTTCGAACGTGCAACTCTACAATGACATCGCGACTTATGCGCAATATCTTATCTTCTTAGTCATAGTATCATGCCTGTATCTAAATACCATACTACATTTGTTTTATTAATTCTGGCTACAATTGACCAATTCTGATTGATACTATTCTGACTAATCATTTTAATAACAAAATATGGATCATTTCCATTATTAGATGGTTGTACTGTAATTTCTCTTAAATTTATTTTATTTACTCTTTTAGTTTGACAACATTTTGCACAATGACCTTGTTTTTTACAAAAATGTCAAATAGCTGCTAATGCTAATGCAAATAGCATTTATTTCTATAGGTTTCACCACATCTTTGACAAACCTTTCTTACCACTTGATTATTTTCATTATTCCTATTCTGGCTTGCATATCCATTATTTCTTGATTTAAAATTAAAGTTCTGACTTGTTACCTGACTTTGACTTGTACGAACAGTCGTACCATCTATGTTGTGCTGTTGATTATCATTTCTCCAATTTAGACCTGGAATTTTATTTCTATACCTAGAATGATTTGAATTGTGACTCTTGTAACTGCTATTTTGGTAAAAATTTTAACCTGGACCATCTTTATTCTTCTCCACTTTGTATACCACAGCTTCTGAATTTTTATTTAACTGTTGGCCTTGTATTTCAGTTCTAATTATATTTTGTGCAATTTGTAATACCTTTTCTGTCTTCAGATCTACTTCTTGCTATAGTTTTTGCTTAATTGAATGGTGTTTAAGATTTAAAGCAATAATGAACATGTCACAAACCAAACTTTCATATTAAACTCAAATTCTTTAAAGTAGTCATGAAATCCTCATTGGTTTCACCAGCTTTCTGCACTCTAGTAAGAAAATAATGTCTTTCTTTTGTTAACTTTTTCTTCGGTTTACAATATTTTTCAAATCTCTCTATGACCTCTTTAAATTTTACAGTATCCGTGTTAACCTCAAATGACTTGTAAATGTTTCTTGTATCTAGACCAATATAGTGTAATAGTAGAGCTACCTTTCTCGCATCATTTTCCTCCTCTAAACCTGTCCCCTCAAAAATATTTTAAAATTCATGCACCATTCTTCCCAGTTGTAAGCCAAATTTTCCTCCGAGAAAGATTGAATTTCATTGCCGACTACGTTACTTTTTATTTTTACGACTGGTTGGCTTTGCTCGACAGCATCTTGTTCTTCCATGTCCATTTTATATCTTGACTGTTTTTAATAATAAATCTCTTTTTCCTTTTAACATCACAACACGTGTTCTGAGATTATGTTTCGGCTTTTGTAACTTTTATAATGACTCTTCGATATTTGCTTACTTTTATTTACTTCTGACACCATGTTTGTTCTACTCTGTGGGCTTTTTGTTATAATAGACGACTCATTTCGGTATATTTTATTTATTACAGGACAATACATATTTATCAAAACATTGTACAAAAGATTGAAAATCTTTTCCCCACAGATGAGAACAAAGCAGATATTAACAGAACAAGAGCACAAACAAGGCGACTATTAAGAACTAAAAAGAGGAGCTACCTAGAACAGCAAATCCGGGAAATGGACAGAAGTGGCGAGAGGAATCAAATAAGGAAATGCTTTAGTGAAGTGAAGTCAGTCAGGAAAGGTGCAAGTGTTGGAGTAACACAGCCTATGAGAAATTAAGCAGGTGAACTTATAATGATAGAAACGGAAATCGTCAAACGATGGAAGGAATACTTTCGGTATTTACTAAATATTGAAAATGAGACGTGAGAGAGGTATTTTCACAGCTCGAGGAAGAAACAGGTAGTCTGGGTCTCCGAATAAATAAAGAAAAGACAAAATAACAAAATACATGGTAGTAACCAAAGATCCAAGACCAAGAGTTGGGCAGAACATCAGTATTAATGATCACAACTTTGAAGTAGTA